ATTTAGAAAAAGCCGAAACAATCAATGTAAGTTCTCTATCTTTTAATGATGCATCTATTATTTTTGCGTAGGCAATTAAGCATTATTTTTATTTATTTATAATTAAATATTATGTGTAGGTTGGAGTTATAGTTGAAGATGGAGCCTTAAGATTGGAGAACAAGTTAACTAGTTTGGAAGAAAAGGTGAATGATATGTTTAGTCGCATAGCCAATATCGATACGAAGTTAGATGGATTGTGTGGTTTGGTCAATTCTCTTAAAGGCTCAATTATTGATGAAATTGTTGAGAAGTTATTGACAAAAGATCAATCTAACACACAAAAGGCATTCGATCATGGAGCATTTGTTAGTCCTGCCCATTCTCATGAAAAATCATATGCCGCTGCTAAAAAATTTCGTGATATTCAATTTGATGCATCTACGAGTGGTATGTATAGAAGAAAATCACATGAGGTGCATATAGTGTTAAGTGATTCATCCTTAGAAACCCCGTTAGACTTAGGGAAAGAAGGTGAAAGAGAGGGATACGGAAAATCAAATGCTTCCAATGCTTTTGAAGAAGTTTCTTCCAAATTTATGAGATCGAAGAATGACACAAAAAGTCCCTTTAAGAGTCATGCAAAGGTAATATATTATTTCGTATGCGTACGTTCTCTTACAATGTACATCTAAAAATTGTATTAGAAGTTTCTCGCCCGCAACACGCTTTATGATTTATTTTTTTATTAGGGTGTTGATGCGGATTTTAGTGTTGAAGAGAAGAATGTTTTGAAGTACATATTCGATGTAAACCACAGTCCCGAGTAAGTGTTATTTTTATGCACAATTATCATCAGAATTCATATAAAATTTATTGCTAAATTATTTTCTTTTTTGATGTTGCAAGTGAAAAGATCGTGCAAATGTCACGAGAATTTGGAGAAAGAACACAGTTAACAGAATTACTGACTTCAAAATGGCTAAGTGCAGAAGTAAGTTTATTTATACTAAACCTTACAATGATTGAGTTTTAATTGTGTTGATATGATTTGCAGATTTTAAATCTATACGCTTGTATGCTGACGTGGGATAATCGAAATGATGCAGCAAAAAATTGGTTTATGCCAACCTATGTCTCGGTAGGTCATCAATATTCTACTTGAATTATTATGTGGATTATTATTTACTTGAAGATATAATTGATTAGACATTTTTTGATGTAGCAATACATTACTGAAATGAAAAAAGGTTGTGATGTTGGTTGCATTTATCGGTATTTCTTGCGTGAAGATAAATATGGAGGGGATATTAGAAAATGTGAAAAGGTAAATTTCCATTATTTTGATGCATTGTTGACAAGTTAGCTAGTAAAATTGCTTGAGTAATGGTTTATTGACATTTTGAATTTTTAAATGCATAGATCTTCATTCCAATGAATCCTGGAGGTCATTGGTACTTGTGTGTAGTCGACATAATCAGACAGGAGGTTTTGATATTGGATTCACTTAGGCCAAAAAATTGCAGTGAACGTATTTCAAGTGCTAAAGTTGTGGTAATTAGTTTGGAAATTATTATTATTATTATTATTATTATTATTATTATTATTATTATTATTATTATTACTTTTTTGAAGAAGTTCTATTGGCTGATATTTTATTTATAAAATTACATTGTCATGTAAGCTCAAGGGTTTCCACGAGGCTTTAGAGATTGGTTGTGGTACAACTTATAGTGTCAATATTTCTAAATTTCCTACGAAAATCGCGCAATG